TCACTAATTAATTTTATTTATTTGCCTACTTTAATCACATGTTTAATTATTTCTATATGTATTTAAACAAGAATTTGTGTATTTATACAAACATTTATTTATTATTTGCATATTTATTTATTTATTTGTGTATTTATTTATTTATTGTTTTTGCAGGTTTCGTCCTCCATACTCACCAGGTGGCTCGAATAAAATGTCATATCAAATTGAATAAGGCCTACCTTATTATTGCCCCTCAACTAAGCTGAAAGTTGAATGAACTAGTATAACTTGTTTCAACTCAAAAACGCATGTTGAAACAACTGCATCACACCGAAAAAAATAAAGATAACAAAAAAATCTAAGGCAGCGGAGTAAAAAAAAAAATTTTTTAAGTTGACTCAACAAATTGTTTTTTACAATGTGCATGACGCTATAGGATCAAGTGATAGAAGTTGAAGATTTTGAGGAAGGTCGAGGAAGACGATAACGTTTTTTTTTATTATTATTTGTCTGTCAGAGAAGCTCGCCTAACTACGGTAAGTGACTTTAAGCCACATAATTATTTTTAGCTGGTAAGCACTAAAAGTTGTTATTAAAATGGACAAGCCTCAGGCGAAAACTTAAATGACCATTTTTGCCTGGAATGTCAGACTTTTAGTTTTAGAATTTCTATAGTGACTCAGAAAGCCTTCAGGCGTGCTGGACGCATGCGCATTAGAGTCTGAGACGCTGAGGAATTTCTCCTCGCTTTAATTGCCTTAAAAATGGTCTTTACAAAGAGACACTACCCAGATTTTCCTCCTATTTAACTCCTTATTTCCACTGGTTCAAAAGTTAATCGGATTTTTTTCTAGACCCTAATGCGCGCAGATGTGAGCAAAAATACTAAGAGGAACAGGAGGAAGTTCGGGAAGACCAGGAACATTTAAAAAGTACAAGTTTTACCATTTTTGATGATTATTATTATTGTGTAAAGAGGTAAGCATTCATTAGCTGATTTTTTATTTAATAAATAAATGAAATAGGATTTTAAATAAATATATATATATATATATATCTTCGGTCCCTCTTAAAAACAGCTTGTCAGAGGTGTAACGCAAATAATACAGTGAATTCGTTTAGAACTGTTTCCCCCTCCACATCTCATACTTTTTTCATAATTATCCTGCCTGACAATCACTACAACTGTGTTACAGTTTAGATTAACTGGTAGGCTGTTCCTAAATGGACTGTTTTTGCAGTTTCTTAATGGTGTAAAAATAATAAATCATATTCATTCATGAGAAAGTCCTAAAAGCAAAATGCAATTAGAGCATCTCTTTTAGAGGTTTAAAACCTTTAGCTTTTTAAAACATGTTTAGATTATTTATGATAACAGAAAATGTTGAGCAGTTATTTCTTAGTCGTATATTTATGGAGACAGGCAGAAAAGCATTCCGTTGCACAGGTCAGCATGAACCCATGAAACTGCTGGAACTGAAGGTGACGGGAAACCTCTGACTGACAGTGAAACTAGCCACTGAGGTTCTTCTGTGAGCTCATCTCGTTCCTCATTGGTCGGTGGGCGGGACCTCCTGGCGCGCTGACCCTGTGATATTTTCTGAGGACTAACATCAAACATTCTTCGGAGCACAGCGGCTGCAAACAGTCTCGAATATTTTGGACTTCCAAAAGGATATAAAACTACAGACTGGGAAAAATCTTTTCTGGTCAGTTGCGTAAATTGTCAGCTACAAAGCTGTTGTTACTGTTCCGAGGAGAGAGAGAAAAAAACTTCTCAGAGAGGTGAGTAGTAACCAATTTTAAAAATTCATATGAGCCTGTGAAAATCTGCTTTCATCAGTCAAAACAGAAAACTGAAAAAGTATCTGTTTTAACTCACACATAAATCGAAGTGCTTTTGACTGAGATTTAAATCAAAATTTTGTTTTGTTCAATATTATTGAGGTATTCTTTATATCTTTAGGACTGTCTATAGGCTAATAAAAATGGAAACCTTAAAATAATTTTAACAAACGTTGTATTATGTGCATTTTTGAGGATCTATTTATAAATATTTCTATCTATCGTATTTACAAATTACTTTGGCGGGTGTAACCTAGTCGGGATGATTTAGTCATATTTAATAAAATTCTGACCTTTTAAAATTTAATTTAATTTAGATATTATTCCTAACCATTTTTTTTTTTAGAGTGTAGCTTAATGCTCGACGGATCATTCGTTAATGCATATTCAGTTTATTTAGAAATTATAAAAATTTTATTTATATATTTAGGCCTATATGAAGTATATTTTACGAGTTTTAAATATATTCAAATATATATTTATACTGATTGTACATTAAGCCCTGATTTGTTGAGCAGTGTACAATGAAAATTTTAAGGAAAAAATTGAAGACACAAATACATGTTGCTATATCTGTATTTTAGTGATGTGTTGTGTCGATCGCCTAAAATTATTTTAATCAAAAAAAATGTTTTGGGAAAAATTATGTCGTCTTGTTATGGCTTTAAAAAAAAGTGCACCAAGTGTCGTCAAACACAAACTGCATCGCGTCCCATCATGACAGACTGGTAATGAAAGCTATTTGCACCAACATTAGACGCGGCCCAACTGGGAGCAGCATTTATAAATGCACACATACATCTCCAGCGAACCAGCCCAGAGGCGATGACGGACAGAAAGAGCAGCAATTGAGCTTAACACTGGGAGGGCAAAGTAAATGTTTAGCAAAGCACTTTTTGTTCAGCCGAATTAAAGTATTCCCATGTGGCTGGAATATGATTACATTGGGGAATTTGGTGTCAGTGACACAATTGCCACGGGCTCTTTAGTGAGGACTAAATCCTAAACCCTCAGGCTGCTTACACTTATTCTTGCTTCAAAAAATAATAATGACTAATAAAGAGATTATTCCCACTGTAGCCAATTATCACCGATGAAAGACTGATCAAATTGCAGTTTAATAATGAAAAATCCTTACACATTCAAAAATGCAATCATCTGCTATTATTATTATTATTATTATTATTATTATTATTAACTGTCGTTTATTATGGCAGTTCAAGTTTTTTTATTTGACAGATGGATATAGTCAAAGCATGTGCCCTTCTTGTTAAAGAGAATGGGCAATAATTAGGCCTAATACAAATTTTTAAATGTCTTAAACATACCTAAACGAATTATTCATATGTATGCTATATGCCTACATTTAATTTGATAGACGACCTGTCATAACCCCATCGATCAGAGATTTTCACGGCTGTTTGCAAACTAAACGAAAACATCCATCATCGATTGTGCCGATTGTTTCATGCGCCATCAACAACAAATAGCCTAAAATGTTTTTGCTCCGTTTGACTGAATTAAAAAAACTATTGTTTTTTTAAAATATATTTTTCTTCTTCTTCTTTTATAACCCCAAGATTAGATTTTTTTATCCTAAGATCCCCCCCCCAATTTTATAAAGGTGAATAGACACATGTATAAGCTACCGTTTTATAATATTTGTAGGTTATGTCAAAAAGTCAGTACATTATTTGCCTAAAAGGATACAAGAAAACCTTAGTATCACGTAGCACTGAAAATTAATTAAATATGACTCGATATAAATGAAATAAAATGACAAATTACGTAGCCTAAAAAGATGTAGATTTGAAGCTATTAAATAAGCGTTAATAAGTACGCGTTTTACAAGAAACAAAGTTCATTTATAACCACATATATTGTTTGTGCACGACTGCTACACAACATTTTTGTAGTAAGAAACTTCTATTCTATTGCAGTGCACATTCTGTCAAAAACAGCATATGAGAAATAATTATTCTATTATTTATTAGGGGAATAAATGATTTAATTTAAACTAAAATTATACTGTACGCGGGAAAAAAATATTTACTGTAGGCTACACTCTAAAAAATGCTGGGTTGTTTCAACCCAACTTTGGGTCAAATATGGACTAACCCAGCTGTTGGGTTACATTTTTACAATTAAAACAAACATTAAATTAAATTAAATTAACAACCCAGCATTTTTTTAGAGTGTATGCTATTTATAATGAAAAAGATGCAGGTGCAGCACGTGCCGTATTTAAACATTTTAAAGTACAGATGCAAAATAGGTTAGTAGGCTACAATACATTTCTGAATTGCATTATTCAGTTCTCTTCATGAATATAAATATGCTTTATAATATGACCGTGACTAAAATCCTTTTAGACGCAAAGCTGCAACCTCAAAAAGCACCATGAACTCATAAACATAAATGATTGTTTTAGTCATGACAGTATGTGCATTGTCTGTCGTTGATCAGAGGGACGCGATGCAGCACTACGGGGTGAACGGCTACTCTCTGCACGCCATGAACTCTCTGAGTGCCATGTACAACCTGCATCAACAGGCCGCACAGCACGCTCAGCATGCGCCCGACTACCGACCCTCCGTGCACGCACTCACGCTAGCGGAGAGACTGGCAGGTAAGAAATCATATCCGCTCACCTGAAATAATGACTGATAGATAGATAGATAGATAGATTATAAAACTGACCATAAGTCTTCATGTTTAATGACTGCACATTTTCAGACATCATCTTGGAGGCGCGCTACGGCTCCCAGCACAGAAAGCAGCGCCGCAGCCGCACAGCCTTCACCGCCCAGCAGCTGGAGGCGCTGGAGAAAACTTTCCAGAAAACTCACTACCCTGATGTGGTCATGCGTGAACGTTTGGCCATGTGCACCAACCTACCCGAAGCTCGAGTACAGGTGAGTTCACAACACGAGAGGATAGCAGCCAATGGGGTTAGTCATTTTAGTAATGCTGGACCTACCTTCAGCCTTTGATACTGTTGATCACGAGATTCTTATCTCTCGATTAGAATCTTTTGTAGGCCTCGGAGGTGCTGTTCTAAGTTGGTTTAAATCATTTTTAACTAATAGAAGATTTAGGGTTAAAATAGGTAATTGTACTTCATCTCTGGGTCTTTCAACATGTGGTGTTCCTCAGGGCTCGATTTTAGCTCCTACTCTTTTTTTCTCTATATTTACTTCCTCTGGGTTCTGTGTTTAGAAAGCATGGAGTTTCTTTTCATTGTTATGCCGATGACATGCAAATATATTTACCAGTTACTAGGAAAAAAGAAAGTGCTGTAAATACTTTATCTGCTTGTCTTGATGATGTTAAATCCTGGCTTTCTAAAAATTTTCTTTTCTTAAACACAGATAAAACGGAGGTCATAGTTTTTAACTCCTCAGACCCCAGGCATCAAAATCAATTTGATTTTAAGCACCTAAATTCATTTATTTCCCCTTCAGTGCGAAATTTGGGTGTAGAGTTTGATAATTCTTTAAAATTCGATAAACAGATCAGTTCTGTCGTAGGCTCCAGCTTCTTCTACCTTCGGTCCCTTTCTAAAATTAAACCATTTCTTTCTGTAGTTTCCCTAGAGATTGCAATTCATGCTTTCATTACGTCACGGCTGGATTACTGTAACTCGCTGTACTATGGCATTTCAAAAACTCAAATTTCTCGTTTACAGGTAGTACAAAATGCAGCAGCTAGATTTCTGAAGGGGTGTAAAAAATTTGATAAATTTGATCCCATTCTGAGATCCCTGCATTGGCTGCCTGTTCAGTACAGAATTCTTCTATTTGTCTACATTGTCTACAA